TTGATTATTGTATTCTCTTTAATTCAACGCATGTTCACTCCCTCTAACTTGGGTTTGAAGAATTGAGGTCACCACATTTAATTCACATTGAAGTTCAACATACAATTAGTTATAGAGTTAGGTATAAACTAGTTTCGTGTAAAAAATTATATACTAGTGGCAAATCTATAAGCTGTAGGCGCATTTTTTTCCAATTTTATTTGACAATCTGACAAAATAGTTTATGATCAAATTTTCGTCACAATTATGTTTTCACTAGGCCCTATTCACACTGGCATGTAGCGATTATAGCGGCCCTGTCTTGGCTTATTGAATTGTTACGAAGTTACGTATGCGGTGCGGAAGTTAGAGAGCAAATGACCATCATTTCAATGTAATAGTTTATGCAGGAAAATTGAGATTAGGCCATTGGAGTATTTGTTTCATGCATTTGTAAAACATTACCCACTCATAGGTCATACTTATCGTTAAACCAATAACTCAAATATATGCCCTTGTACACCGATCACCTGTTGAAATTAATACAGGCCGATTTCAACAAATGTAAAGGGCGATATATTTAAAATCGTATTCAAGCATGACCACGTCCCAACTTCTTTTGTTTTCTTTACAACTAAGCTATGACTGCAGTCTATTCAGTGTTGCGTATCGAACCTTGTTTATTATAAAAATAGTGCAACAACAAGCAGAATTCACACATTTACCTTATACTTATTCTCAACTGAAGACATTGAATTTATCTCTTAGGTTTTACATTATAAATATCTTAACATGCAGAATACGAAAATGGAGGCTTAGGCCCAACTTTGTATGAATTTTATGAGAATAATCTGATTTTAGAGAAATGAAAAGAAAAATGTCCACACCCTACACAAAATATTTATGGTTCCCCGGGAATACGTATGTGCTGCTTGTATATTAGAATCGTATTCCAGTTACAGAAAGAAGTACATATCATGCTAAACTATATACAACAGTTATGCAGTTGGAGGTTTTGGATACAGGGAATATCCCGAGGGATATATAATTCATCTTCCCTTGGTCCCTTTGGTCCCTCGGGAAGATATATTGTATATCCCTCGGGATATTCCCTGTATCCAAAACCTCCAATTGCATAACCCCTACATATTGGCCAAGGGATAATCCTAATATCCTGAACCGCGACTATAGGATAATATGTTTATCCCATACCAATCTTGGTCATCTGGTTCACATTGTTAAATCGTGGAAACATTTTAGAATATTCATGTCCAGTTTTGTTTTCTTGGCCGTGGGCGGATTTTCATGTTCTCTCAAATATTCCCATATTTATTTTCTCGAATTTTTATTGATTAAGAGGATGCTCTTTCCCCTTTTTTAACTATCAAACAGACCCTGATTGTCTGTGTTTTCTCCATTGCCGTTTACAGTCATTCCGCGAACGTTACAAATTATGAACAAACATGCAAGCGGCGATTATGACGTAGCGGGCAGATATACTATATCTGCCCGCTTGGAGCGGGACGTAAAGCTTTAGCCCATGGTTGCAAGGAGGATATAGATCGAATATCACATGATGATATATTTGATATGTGGATCAAGATATCATATTTTAGCAAACAATTTACAAACCATCGAATATCACTTTTAAACTATCGAATATCACATCTTAAATAGAGGATATCCTATGATTTATGAGTGATATGATTTTTATCAACGAATGGATATGATATCTGCACGAGTGAGCGTAGCGAGAGAGTGCAGATATCAACATCCATAAGTGGATTAAAATCATATCACGAGTAAATCATAGGATGTTCTTTATATTCCATAGTTAAAGTCATCATCAGAATCGTCGGGAATTAAGTGATTTAAAACGAATTTTCCAAACGATACGGCGATATTGACACTTAGCCTCGTTTTGAGTCTGAAGTAGCAAAAATCCATAAACCATGGCATACGGCGCCGTATGTCATGGCTAAAAGCCCCCCCCCCCCTAAAACACCGTATGCTATGGTTAAGTGAAAATTTGCCAAAAATATCATATTTTACCACTGATTTCAAAAATACCGTTTTTATTTTGACATGTTATCCTATGGATATCATGCTAACTATGGAATAATATAGGAATATCCTATGGCTCTGAAAAAATATCACTTATATCCATGAGTGGATATTGATATCTTCGCCAGTGAGCGCAGCGAATGAGTGAAGATACTGATATCCATGAGTGGATATAAGTGATATTTTTGAAAAAACATAGGATTGTCCGTTTATCCCATTGGGAATTATTATCCAGCGAACATTGAATAGTCAGATAAATTGCAATGGAAATTCCATTTGGTCTGACATTTTGATTGCGATAATTCAACGAACGTCATATACGTGACGTAACAGAGTGGTTTGTATTTAATGCGAACGCCGTAAAAACAAGATCCGAAAAAATAAAAATATATAATAAATATATAAACAATCGTTTTGCTGAATTAATAAAAAAATGGAAAAAATCAAAACCATCGAATATCACTTTTGAAACCATCGAATATCACTTTTGAAACCATCGAATATCACCTTTCAAAAAGTGACATTCGATGGTTTCAAAAGTGATATTCGATGATTTGGGAATTGTTTGCTAAAATATGATCTTCATCCACGTATCAATTATATCTTCACGTGATATTCGATCTATATCCTTGTAACCATGGGATAATTAAGGGTTATGTACTGGGGGGTTTTGGATATGGGGTTTTTCCAGAGGGAGATATGCATATCTACCTGAGGGACCGTAGGGACAGAAAGTAGATGTGCATATCTCACGAGGGATGAACCCAATATCCAAACCGACCGTACATAACTGCTTTATTCTATACCAAGTAGAGTTTTCAGTAGTACAAGGTGTAAAAAATAAACAAATCATTCATATGCAAAGTCATTTTATTGCATTTCCACTTTTTTGGAAGCGGGAAGATACGCCCCGAAGCGGGAAGATATGCACCGAAGCGGGAGATATGACGGGAGATATGGAGGTTCTTGATATGGAAACCTCAAAATCAGGATACGGGATATATCTTACCAACTTATCTCCCTAAAACCCTACTTGGCATAGGATAAATCAAAATAATTTCTACTCGCATCTAGTCTATTCCACATATTTGGGAAAAGTGTACAGGAAAATCTCCATGTTCAATTGATGTATGATCAATATATACGAATCGAATGTATTCTCGTGTGCATTACAATATCCACATTGAAACATTTTTGGCCTGCAATGGACGTATAATAAATTAGAATATGAGGCCGTGTTATCATTCTAATATAAAGTCATGGTATTTACTGTGGTATTGGGTTGCAAGCTAATATCAGATTCAATGCAAATTAATCATCTAATATCAGATGCGCGATCAGTCCAATAATCTAATTTCAGGTCATCAGTTCGATATCTAGCACTTGTTCTAACGACACGGTATTACTAGGCTATCATATTATAAATACACACACATATAAAACAATCAAACTGGTACACGATATAAGCACGACTGCTCTTTCAATTGAGTATAAATGTTGATAAACTTACCCGGAAGCCAAGACATACGCGTTTAGACGATGCTATTTTCAGTTCAGTGTAAGAGTAAATGCCCGGATATCGAGGCTTTTTCGTGTAAAGTTTTAACCAAGCATCTAAAATCGGGTTATATTGCGTGTAGAATTTATCGATATCAGGGCCGCTACATGCCAGTGTATTCACGTGCACCATTATTTTACATTATATTTCATCAATGTTCATTTCCCTATAACTTTTCATCTTAATGATATTACTCTAAAAATAAATAAGAAATACTCAGGTCTAAGATGACCAGTGTCTTAGTAAACTAGGGTTTGAGTTAAATAACTAGCATCCATCTTGCTTTCATCTTAGCTTAGTCATGTTACATAATGCCATTTGAAAATGAAGGCAATGCATCATGTATTATTATGACATTATAAGGCAGAATTAGAAGTAACTGATTAAATGGGTACCCAAATTCCAATCAACGAATGCATTCTTTACCATGTCAAATATAGTGCCCCCAAAAAGATCAAGAACATTTTATCAATGGTTATTCAAGACTCAAATTTCAGAAGTATGGCAATCATGTGTCAAATCAAATAAGAGAATACTATTATATACTTAAGCATCCGTAGTCACCCTTGGTATACGCAGCTGACAAAATGGACCGGTACGGGTCAAAAGCTGGACCGGTTCGGGTTAACGGTTTTATTTGAATTTAAAACAGCCATAACTTGCTCAATATTGACTTCTTCGTGTCTAATTTGGAATATATGATCCCTCCGAATGATTTTAAGTACCCCAAATTTTTACAGATTTTAAACGGAACAAATTCTCGAGAGAAGACCAAAAATAGAATTTAGAGATTTTTGTTCCGTTTAAAAATCTGTAAAAATTTGGGGTACTTAAAATCATTCGGAGGGATCATATATTCCAAATTAGACACGAAGAAGTCAATATTGAGCAAGTTATGGCTGTTTTAAATACGTTCGGGTTAACGGTTTTATTTGAATTTAAAACTGCCATAACTTGCTCAATATTGACTTTTTTAGTTTCTAAGTTGAAATATATGATGCCTCTGAGTGATTTTAAGTTCCCTAAATTTTTACAGATTTTTAAACGGAACAAATTCTCGAGAGAAGACCAAAAATAGAATTTAGAGATTTTTGTTCCGTTTAAAAATCTGTAAAAATTTGGGGTACTTAAAATCATTCGGAGGGATCATATATTCCAAATTAGACACGAAGAAGTCAATATTGAGCAAGTTATGGCTGTTTTAAATTCAAATAAAACCGTTAACCCGAATCGGTCCAGCTTTTGACCCGTACCGGTCCATTTCGACAGCTGCGTATACCAAGGGTGGTAGTGATAGAAAAATAGCACAAATGTAGAAATGTCTAGTTTCTTAGTAATAGGTTTTGAGCTTTTGAAATTTTTCGAAAATATTAACGCCATCATGGAATGCTATTAGCAGTATTATAGCTATTAGTATATTTTAAGCACAAACTGTATCATCGTTGCTTCGTTTTACAAAATCATTATTACATAAAAATAACATTTAAACATATTTTTTCTTTGTTTTGTAATAAGCTAAGTCTAGGATGAAGAAAAGTAATATGCCGTTGTGGTTTAGTATATATACTATAACTAGTATTGTCCATGGGGGATCTTTAACTCGTGTGCAATGATCCGTTCAAGCCCATGTCCTAGCATTCCCCTGTATGAAGAATTGTCACAGTCTTCTTTTGCCTGAAAAAACAACCAGATCGAATAAGCCGACAATCTGTCATATATGGCCGACAATCTGTCATATATGGCCGGCATTAATCCGGTAATCGAACATACGCATGTCAAAGTATATATAAGTATATCACACTAGTATACCTTGCATTTGGTGTTATGAAAATATTTGTGGAAAAACAGAAACATTTAATTCAATTTATATGACCAGTAAATAAAAATATAATGAAGTTGTACACTTCTCTCCAAAAGTTTGGAAGACCCCGGATCGTTATGACATTATGCAAAGAAATAACAATAATTTCGCACAATGTGTTTTCTAACTTAAAAGCTGCTTCATATCCGGTAAAATAAACCAAGTGTCTTAATACGAACAAATTGATTTAGTTTTGCAATATGTCGATTTATTCTTTTAATCTTTTTCAAGCAACTGAAAATTGTTCCTATAATGATAAATAATTTGTTTCAATCAATTTAACATAAAAATTGTTATTTTTTATTTTAACATAAAAACAACCACTTATTGTCTTAATACCGATGAAAAGCTAACTGGTCAACTCGTACCCAAGACAACTCGTACCCAAATCAAGTCGTACCCAAAAAACTCGTACCCAAGTCAAGTCGTACCCAAGACAACTCGTACCCAAGTCAAGTCGTACCCAAGACAACTCGTACCGAAGACAACTTGTACCATTTTGAGCTTTGAAAAATTAAGTGTCAATCTATTTTGACTATTATTTTATATTGGTCACAGATTCAGGATGATTGAGGGACGAGACCTATGTTTATTCCACATATACATAATCATTGTTCAAAATATTAGTGGTATTTTTGTATGTTTACGAGTGTTTGGAACAAGTGTCAGATCTAATTCATCTTAAAAGATGGTATTATTATGTCACCACCAAAAGTGGTGACATATTGTTATGGTCTCCGTTTTTTGCGACGGCGGTTGGAGGTTGGCGTCCAGCGGTTGGAGGTTGGCGTCCGGCGGTTGGAGGTTGGCGTCCGGCGGTTGGAGGTTGGCGTCCGGCGGTTGGAGGTTGGCGTCCGGCGGTTGGAGGTTGGCGTCCGGCGGTTGGAGGTTGGCGTCCGGCGTCTGTAACAATTTCTTGCAACTTCCTATAACTTAACAAATACTGTTTAGACTGACTTCAATTTTTTTCTAAATCATCTACATGTTCTCAGAAGTTCAAATCTGACTTTAGATTTTACATTTGACCTTCAATGACCTTCTCAAGGTCAAAAAGGTCTTTTTTCAACTTACTTCACATTGACTAAATTTTTTTTCAAAATCATCTACATGTTCTCAGAAATTCAAATCTGACTTTAGATTTGACTTTAGATTTGACATTTGACCTTCAAATCTGACTTTAGATTTGACATTTGACCTTCAATGACCTTCTCAAGGTCAAAAAAGGTCAAAGAGGTCTGTTTTCAATTGCTTCAAATTGACTAATTTTTTTTCAAAATCATCTACGTGTTCTCAGAAATTCAAATCTGACTTAAGATTTGACTTAAGATTTGACATTTGACTTTCAATGACCTTCTCAAGGTCAAAAAATGTCAAAAAGGTCTGTTTTCAACTTGCTTCAAATTGACTAAAAAAAATTTCAAAATCATCTACGTGTTCTCAGGAATTCAAATCTGACTTTAGATTTGACTTAAGATTTGACATTTGACCTTTAATGACCTTCTCAAAGTCAAAAAAGGTCAAAAAGGTCTTTTTTCAACTTGCTTCAAATTGACTAAATTTTTTTTCAAAATCATCTACATGTTCTCAGAAATTCAAATCTGACTTTAGATTTGACATTTGACCTTCAATGACCTTCTCAATGTCAAAAAAGGTCAAAAAGGTATTTTTTCATCTTGCTTCAAATTGACTAAATTTTTTTTTCAAAATCATCTACATGTTCTCAGAAATTCAAATATGACTTTAGATTTGACTTTAGATTTGACATTTGACCTTCAATGACCTTCTCAAGGTCAAAAAAGGTCAAAAAGGTCTTTTTTTAACTTGCTTCAAATTGACTAATTTGTTTTTTTCAAAATCATCTACATGTTCTCAGAAATTCAAATCTGACTTTAGATTTGACATTTGACCTTTAATGACCTTCTCAAGGTCAAAAAAGGTCAAAAAGGTCTGTTTTCAACTTGCTTCAAATTGACCAAATTTTTTTTTCAAAATCATCTACATCTTTTCAGAAGTTCAAATTTGACTTTACAAGTTCTCAGAAGTTCAAATCGGACTTTAGATTTGACCTTTGACCTTCAATGACCTTTTCAAGGTCAAAAAGGTCTTTTTTCAGCTTGCTTCAAATTGACTAATTTTTTTTCAAAATCATCTACATGTTCTCAGAAGTTCAAATCTGACTTTAGATTTGACATTTGACCTTCAATGACCTTTTCAAGGTCAAAAAGGTCTTTTTTCAACTTGCTTCAAATTTACTTAATTTTTTTCAAAATCATCTACATGTTCTCAGAAGTTCAAATCTGACTTTACATTTGACATTTGACCTTCAATGACCTTCTCAATGTCAAAAAAAGTCAAAGAGGTATTTTTTCAACTTGCTTCAAATTGACGATTTTTTTTTTCAAAATCATCTACATGTTCTAAGAAGTTCAAATCTGACTTAAGATTTGTGTGCAACTAGTTTTAACTTGCTTCAGATTGAACAATTTCTTTTTTCAAAATCATATACAAGATCCCAGAAGATCAAATCTTCAAAAACCTTCTTAAGGTCAAAAGGTATTTTCCAACTTGCTTTAAATTGACCAAATTGTTTTAGGTGGTGACATTTTGTCATGTTAATGCCTTGTTAAGATTTATCAAAACTTGGGCCTAATTTCTCATTAAACAGATGGTCTCTTTAGGATTTCATATTATCAGATTAAAGAAAGTTAATTCTACGAAGTCACATTCATAAAATTTAGCAATAAAATATTCTAAATAATATAAATATCAAATATTATTTTGGTACTTATTCATACATGATATAATACACGTTGTATGCATGTGCTCAAATATAATCCAATTAAGTTCCAAATGGAAAAGAAATTAACAGATTAAACTTCCCTTATTAACTTTCTCCAAATGCACTAAGCTGAATTAATTGCACAACGAGAAACACTATATAATAAACATCAATACGACGAGATAATAGATTTATTATCCAAATTGAATAATAACTAATAAGATCTGTTACTGCTGAATAACATTCTGCTGAATAACATTTGTTATTAATCATTTAGAAATGTCTTATCCGAACAGCTTACATGTACGTATTATCCGTTGCGGCCATTAACAATTTTACATATCTAATTAGCTAAGTAAATAAACATGCGTCGACACAGTCGCAGTTGACTATGAAAAGTCCAATCATCAATCTTATTTTTATTTTCTTGATTTAAAGATTTATTATGTTTAAAAAAGAAAATGTTTGATTTTTAAGTTCAACCTTTAATTCTTATTATCAAGAACGCGCATGCAAATTGGCCAACCATGTACATTGCTTGCAGTCTGCGCAATTTAATGTAAATCATTACATATTTTTCGATATACTGTAATACTATTCATTATTTGTAAAATTGAACCGAATATAATCTAAAATTAATCAGCTTTAAATACATTATATGTCATAAAAGTTGCTTTAAAACAATACAATTCGTGCGTTTGTAAATGCTCTAAAGCCCCGCTAGTATATGAACGAATCCTAAATAGAAATGAGTAAAATTCGTTCCCATTAGTGTGTACACGTTCTACACCGAGACTTCTCCTTTAAATCAAATCAGTCCACCAGTATGACTTAAAAATGGACAGAGGGACGGATGGCTTCATTCAATGGGATAATTAAGATATTTCAAAACCAGTGTCATTCTTCTATGCATACATCACTCCAATCATAAAATAAAACAAGCTGTTTATTTTAAAACTATTCTTTACGAATTTATGATAAGTGTATAATGTTCAATCATACAAATCGCAGTCAGTGATTGTTCTCTACACTCACCCCTCCCCCTTCCTGACATGAACTATTTTGTAAAACCATTGACAGTGTGGAAAGGATTCTTACACTCGAGTGTCAAGGGGGGGGGGGGCAGTTACAGAAATATACAAGGCGATGGTTCAAATTGGACAATTTTCAAAACTGTTCAACATGGTGAAAACTTCACGTTTTTAAAGAATGCTTGCCCGGCGAGTGGTTTGCTCTGGATTGCGAGAGAACAAAAACTTTGAGTTAGGATTTTTCCTAATACTATATCATTAATCTAAACAACTTTTTAAACCGTCTCTGACTACATATCATGCCAATTAATACCATTATTGTGTTGACAGGATTAAATATGATATCTATGGAATTATAATTTAATGAACTCAATAGTCTAAATGATAATAAGTTCATAATTTAGTCTTGGTTGACTAGTCTTGCATCATCAGAGTTGGATTGCAAATACCTCCCTAAATCAAATATTTAAAATTTACAAATTTACTAGTGTACCGGATGGGGAAACAAGTCTCCATCCAACCACTAAAGTTTAAATATACTATATATACTATAGTGTCCCGTGAATTCATTATAATTATCTTAGACAATAGTGAAGCGGTACAATCATTGGAGTGTTAATTAATCGGAATGCAAGTTTGATTTAAAATAACTCCTTTGGATCAAATATTTAAATTCTACTAGAATGCGGGGAGTGGAAACAAGTCTCCATTCAAGCACTAAATATCAAAAGAAAGATTTCAGTACCCCTTAACTTCACTCCCGGACTTCACTATTCACCACCACCCCTCCCTCTTCCCCAAGTATCCCTTATGACCCCAGAATGTTCGTTTCTGTGCCCCACCCCCCGTCAATGGCCAGTAAGTAATCTATGTGTATATTGGCTCCCTCCCAAAGGTGGGAAAACCAGATGCAGGCATCAGGCCTGTCAACTGTCCCGCAATTTGCGTATTTGTCACGCATTTGCTGAAGAATTTGAAGTCACGCCAGTTATTTTTGCGTGAC